GACTTGGTGCTATTGGACTTTTTATTCGGATTTTTATTTGGGCTTGGGCGAGTGTAGTTGGGTTTTGGGGCTTTTATGTTATGAGATATTGTTCGTGGCCCGTCGTTCCTAGAGAGAGGGAGACGGGTGTCACATTGTTATTTGATGACGCGTCGGGGATGACACGCTGTACTCCAGATAGGAGGTGACGGGTGTCACAGTTTTTGGTATCAGAGCGGGGTTCCATCCCGGTTCTGTCCCGGGATGGCGGTCAGGGGATTCGGTTTTCAATGTTTTCAAAAAAAAAAAAATATATAATAATAATATACGTATAAAAATATTTTTTTTTAAAAAAAAACAGTATTTTGAAAATTCTTCTAGCACCAATCTGTCCAGTAACCACTAATTCAATTGTCTCTTTTTATGACGATGAGTAAAGTCATCGTCATTCGTCTTTCGGCTACCAGGGGTCTACCAGATGTTCAGCAGAGATGTGATGCCGCAGTTTTGTCAGAGTTCGCCGAGGTTTATTGGGTTCTTCATTCTTTCTCCTATGTTGTACTGGAGTGGATATGTGACGTTTTTGCCATCACCCAATTTCAAGCCGTCGTCCCACGAGTTTCTGATGTATGAGTTTTTGTGATGTGAGTTTTGAGCCATGGATTGGCGTGTGATGTTTTGTGTATTAGTATATTGACTATTTTGGAGATATGCTTTGTTGTAAACTCGTGGAGATCGCTTTTGGAATTAGGGTGCAGCATCTAGCGTTGTGGTTTATATTGGAGTTACATTTGGCATGTTTGCCGGTTTCTGGTTTTGTTGACCGCTTCAGAGACGTATCAGCTAGGTAAGCTGGCATAAGATGTGGAGAACTATTCATGTTCATNCTCGTGGAGATCGCTTTTGGAATTAGGGTGCAGCATCTAGCGTTGTGGTTTATATTGGAGTTACATTTGGCATGTTTGCCGGTTTCTGGTTTTGTTGACCGCTTCAGAGACGTATCAGCTAGGTAAGCTGGCATAAGATGTGGAGAACTATTCATGTTCATCGAGTTTTACTAGTTATGTTTGGAGGTCGCGTTATTCATAGACTCGCCAGAGAGGGAGCTGAGTTCCACGGTGCCAAGTTTGAGATATAAGGATTGTCACGATATCAAGAAATATTGAGTTGCCGAGGGCAATGGGTTATATTCCTAGAGGAGATGAGAGTTTCATTGTTTCCACGCTACATGTTGAGGAGTTATTGGATAGAAGAGCAAATAGATTTTTGGAGACCGTTTTGACGACTAAAGATGATAAACAACATAAGCTGGATGATCTTCTAGTTATTGTAAAGTAAGAGGATGTAATTGAGACCTATAGAAGAGTCACCATCATATAGGAGACACGTTCATACGGCTGAGTTAGAATCAGAAAGGTAACACCGGTTTTGTGACTTATGTATCGATTAGTACCGACAGAGATGGTCGAGATGAAGAGACATATAGAAGGTGGAATTAGCATCGGGGTATTACCAAATCGTCATAGCGAAGGAGGATGTGTGGAAGACAACCTCTCGTACACACTATGAGCATTGCGAGTTGTAGTAAGAAAAATTGTATTGATGAACGCATCGGCAGTGTTCACGAAGTTCATGATTGTTGTGTCCTGCGAGTATTTGGTTAAGTGTGTGATCTTTTTCATCAAAGATGTCCTAGTTATTCTTGGAGAAGAGAAGAGCATGCAGAGCATTTGCGGATTGTATTGGGTAAGCTAAGATACCATCATATGTTTATTAAGTTGAGTAAGTGTTGCGTCTGGCAGGAGAAGATTAGATTTTTGGGTCACGAGGTTTCAGAAGCAAGAGTTGTTATTGATCCAGAAAAAGATTATCGCAGTTTTAGAGTAGTCATCACCTAAGAGTGCTTCTGCATAGATCAGTAGATTTGGCGGGATACTACAAGAGGTTCATCATCTTTGAAGATTGACTTGGATCCAGAGTACCATAAGATTACTATAGCTGGGAAGTATGTACAGATTACAATTTCACATATAAGATGGATAATACGAGTTGGTAATAATATTATTGGGTTGAAGAATTCAGGGATAACCTTCATGAAACTTACGGATAAATTCTTTTGCGAGCACTTGGATAAGTGTGTGGTTGTATTCATCGGCAACACCCTGGATATTGTTGGAGTGAAGAGAGTATGAGAAGCATAGGCAGATTTTGTATTTAATACGAGAATGTCAGATCATTGTATAAGCGGTAAGTCAGATGGAGAATATGAATATGGAGCATTTCGGAATATAAGTGAGAGGTTTTTGGAGTGATCACCAAAGTTGCCTTTTACATTGACTATGGAGTATCTACGTGATGCAATAGCGTGGTGGGAGAAAGTACGAATAAGCCACTTTGGACCTATCAGACTTAAAGAAGAGGATTTGTTAGAGGTGT